CACATCCTGCACATCCCGCACATCCTGCACATCCTGCACATCCCGCACAGCGCGCTCACACATCCCGCACATCCCGCACATCCTGCACATCCCGCACATCCTGCACATCCCGCGCAGCGCGCTCACACATCCCGCACATCCTGCACATCCTGCACATCCCGCACAGCGCGCTCACACATCCCGCACATCCCGCACATCCTGCACATCCCGCACAGCGCGCTCACACATCCCGCACATCCTGCACATCCTGCACATCCCGCACATCCTGCACATCCCGCACAGCGCGCTCACACATCCTGCACAGAGCCCCGCACATCCCGCACCGAGCCCCGCACAGCGCGGCCGGACGCTGGGCTCACCCCACGCCACACGAGCACAGCACAGCGCGGTGAGCGCACCGCGGTTTCCCGCACGAGCAGGGCATTGCCCCCCGCCCTACGGCCCCGGCCCTGCCCGGCGCTAAGGAGGGGTCGCACAGGAATGCACACAGCACAAGGGACACACACACGCAGAAATGAGGTACCACAGACTTCCGTGGCAAGAAAGAATAAATACAAAAAACATGTTTCATCGCCGTGAATTCAAAATGCAGAGGTTTTAAGATGGTTGCAACTGCTTGTGCAAAATGAGTGCACAGCGTAAGGGCAGGGATAAACAGGGCAAACTGCACACAAAATCAGGGCTGCAGCTGAGCACTACTCCCCGCATTCCCAGAGAGCTAATTTGGTTAATACCGGTGGAGATTCTCCCAAATATCTTCATTCCACCATAAGAATATTGCCAGGCTTTTGTCAAACTATGAATACCTTTTTCTTTTTTAACTTATCTCTTTTTTTAATTAAGGGGAAAGCTTTCAAGAGGAAAATTTTTAAAAAATTTAAAATGTTTATAATGTTAATAATGTGAATTCTTAAGAAGCATCGGAATAGAGACACTTATTGGATATATTACCTTGAAAAGTAAACTTAGCAAAACTAAACATAATAAATAATGTAATAATTGTCATCTTTCCCAGGCTAAACCAAAACACCTCTCGAACTTTTTTTTATCTCAACATGGGTGCTTTTTTTCTGACTTGACTGGTCACTATTCTGTTTTTTTAGGTTTTCTGTTCAGGAGTAAGTGTTGGTAGTCTAACGTACCCAGCTGTCATCTCAAGGCTTCATGGATATCGCATTACATGGAATTAAAAGCAGGCTGCAGGCCTGCAGTGTAAAGAAAATACCTCAAGTGCTTTCAGCTCTAGGTGTGGAAATTGCCTTTATTAAGTGTCACTATTTTATTTCCCCATGTGTCCTAATGAGGCAGTCTTGGGTCAAGGCGTGCAGTTATCACGGCTCTCGTGATACACTTCCTGCATCTTCACCAGTAACAAACGTTCCCCTCACCCTGAGTCAGTCTGAAGCACGATTGCTCGAAAGGGGAAGGAACGTGAGGGAAAGGTCTTATCTCCCCGAGTTTCGGGGGTCTGACAGAAAAACACCAAGGGGAGGAATTGGCCAGGGTGGCCAGGCTCTGTGCAGGTCCCAGCCTCGCTGAGGGGCGCTCTGGGATGTGGGAGAGCACTGCAGAGCAGGTCTGGGACATGGGCAGGGAAGCAGAATCTCCAGAAGGTCAGATTAGAAACTAAATTCAGTGGTTTTCTTTCAAATTATTTACATTTAACTTTTTTGTTTTCTTCTGAAAGTCGCTACAGAATTTTCATTAATTTACTCATTTTGTGTCCAGTTGATCTCTTTTTTTAAATCATCAAATGTGGTTTGTTTATTTTTCTGTTTGGGGCAAGAGGCAGCAGGCAAGACTTTCTTTTAAAATATCCTAATTAAATAACAATACCCTCACAATAGCAATTGCCATCACCCAAGCTATGCCCCCACCCTGTGGCTGAGTGAGAAAGTCGTTAGTTTTAAAGTTCTTAATTTGCTATCTCTGTCTCCTTAGCTTCCCTCAAAAATCCTATAATAATTTAATTTCTGTAGCAAGTACTGAGACAGGAGCCCATCACAGCATAAGTAGGATGTTACTGGAGCAATGCCTCCACCGCTGCAGGGTGAGAGACTTTCTGTCACCGTGGTGTACAAGCTACATTGCTTCAAAACACTCCTCTAGCTTTAGTGGTGGTATTGAAAGCATTACTGTGTAAACATTTTAAAAATTATGTTACTTGTGACTTGGAAAGATTAAAATGATAAGGAAAAAGGCTTCCATTAAAATTAAAGGCAGATTTTTCACTCTCTTTTAGAAAATGTTTTCTTTTGCCTGTAGGAAAAATCATTTTGGCAAAGTCCAAATTATTGCAGACATACACAAAATCCTTACTTCTGAATGGATATTCTATGAGTTGCTAGTGTGGACTTTTATTTTAAAGAAAAAGAATATGTAATTAAGCCAGCAAGCTCTTTTATTATTGAAGGGCTACTATATAATAACTGGCTGAAATTCCACCTGAAAATATGTTCCTTCCAGCTTGTTTTCTTTAGCTTCATTTTATTTTTTTATATTTTTTAACAGGAAGTAGTTTACAACTACTGTTCAGTTTTGATGAGAATTTTTACTGTCAATATGTGTTTTCAAGTAAGCACTTCAAAAGCAAACAAAAAAATTATGTTCCTTTGTAAAACAGTCAAGGAGTCAATTACAAGGAGTCTGACATCAATTACTATGAATTCAAGGTTTTTTGTGAAGATGTAATTAATTTACATGTGCTTGTAAGTTGTTTGCAGGTGTTACATTTTTATGTTGGCTCTCCTATTAGCAGCAAGGTGATAAGTTCTCCACGTGGTATCACAATACCAAAGGAAATAAGCACCCATGATGTGTTCGTCTGCATATTCAGCCTTGTAGGAGAAAATGTTATTCACCCTTGGCCTGCTGAAGGCTCTAGGAAAGCTCCAGAAAGTTGTGTGAGATGTGATTTGTACCCTATTTCCTATAAAAATAAGATCTAGAAATCCTGAGTGATTGTAGAGTTTGTTTTACACTGCTATACCCTTTAGACTCAGCAAGAAAAGCCTGATAGACTGCACACCTGCCTTTCCCCCACTCTTTTTCTTCTCCTTTAAGCACTGCTGTTCCCTTCTAAAAAGCACTATCTGTTCATCAGACTTCCCAAAAGCATATTGTTCTGAACTTTGATAAGTTAATAGATGGGTTTTTTAGATATAGATGCTAACTTTAGGAAGCTTTGAAGCAAATCCCTATTTCTGGCTTATAAGGGAATTGCTGCTCATGCATAGTTTCAAAGTGACTTGATGACCAAGGCAAATGTGGGAGGGCATTACATATTCTGCATGACCCTTTCTCTGTGAGGACAGTGTATATATGATTTATATAACCAATTCTGTTCATTTATCTGTTTTTGTGGTGCTAAATAAATTCCAGCCTGTCATGCTTTGATTTATGAAAACGTTTATACAGCTTTCCAGTAGAATTTAGCACACCACAATTTCACTGTTTATTGAAGCTCTCTGTGGTGAAGAGCCCACTGACAGTAAGAAATGTTGGGTACATTGTGCATCTAAGAGCTAAGTTTCTGAACTTTCCTCTTCTGTATTGATCTCCACTTGGTCTTTGTGTGCATCTCCTTATGGTTCTGTTAAAAGAGCCACTAAACTGCAGACCCCTGTGTATTGGTGTACGGGCAAGCTGTCTGCATCTCTGGGTGAGGATGAGTCTCAAACAGGTCACGAATGGCAAGGTAACTTTAAGAGAAGCTTAAAGCTGGGCCTGAGCTTTGCCTGGAACTTCACAGCAGCCAGGAAACACTGCGGTAAGGCAGACCAGCAGAGAGGGATTGCTCCTATGAGCACAGGTACCCTGATTCCAGACTGGTACACCATGTCCATGGGGAACCCTAAATTTACCATTTCAGTTCAGCATTCACTAGCCCACAGCTCTTTCCCCTAAACAGAACAGAAATGCCCAAAGACTCATTGGAAATCGGTAAGTTGGTTGAAATGTGGTTCCCAAAACAATTTTGGCACTCAAGCCCTGCTTGTGACGTACCTGGCTCAAGGTAGTTGAAGAATTTCCTGAGCTAGAAGTTGTATCTGGACCATTGCTTTACTAGCCAACAACAGGCCTATTTCCCACTGAATCCTCCATTGACACACATTTAGGCATTGGCTTTTCCAGGATCCTTTAGCAGTTTGTTCCACATTCAGTGATAACTAAAAGGAAAAAAAAAAATATTTTCCTTTAAACCTGATAATTTTCTTGGTTGCATCCTAACTTCATTACTGCAAAAAATAGAGCTCAGTCACTGTCTACGCTTAATTCACCATTTAAAGATTTTGCAGACCTTTTAGTTTATTTCCTCTCAGTGCTCTCCACACCAAGTTAAAATGCTCTAACCTGTTAGACTCTCCGCATATGGAAGCCATTTTGCATGGCTAACCATCTTTCTTTCACTTCCCTGTGAAAGAGGAGCTCTTACAGGAGCTCTACTATGTGCTTTGAGAGACAGCAGTGAAAGGTTTGTGCAAGATATTAAAGAAGTCTGTGTGCCAGGGACCTGTTCAAGATACAGTGGTCTGTATGCTGCTTCCACAGAGGGTCTCAAATGCTGCTGCTGAGCAGAGAATAAGCCCTGACTCAACCACCTGTTTATTGAATGGCAGCAGCTAATTTAAATTCCAACATTGCATCAGTAGATATACAGAGTAATTCTAGAAACTTCAGTCAAAATAATGTAGTTATTAGAGATTTCCATGTGAGTGGTTAAAGTCAGGTTCTGGCCTGTGTGCAGCGGATGTGAATCACCTTTCACCTGCCCATATAGAATTCTTTGCAGATAACTGATTTTGCTAAAGCCACTGCTGATTTTATTCTAGCTAAGAACTAATCCCTTTGATTTCCACAAATGATTAATCTCCAAGAAAGAAATATGGAGGTAGTTTGCAGTGAGCTTTGCAGAAATAATTTCTTAGCTTCCCACTCTCCAGGAATCTAGACTCCAGTGGAGCATTTGCATTTCTCTCTTTAACATCAGCCTAAAAATAGGTTTAAGATAAAGATGCTCAGGTAACTTGACAGCAGAGTGACTTGGAACAAATAGAGGCTTAGAGTGAACATGGTGAACAAAGAAAAAGAATTGCTAGGAAGGGTTGGATGGAAGTCTCTGTGATTGGAGGATAATATAATACACACATTCAGTTAAGCTCTGAAAGCACTTAATTAGACACATGGTGTGTGGTAGAAGGACGTAAGAATTACATCCATTTGAAAACAGGAAACTGAGATGCATATGTCTGAAGTGGCTGCCCAAGAATACTGTCAATATGTGCAAAACAGAGCCCACTCAAAGGGGCTCCCACCATGTCACACAAGTTTCCAGTCAGCAACTCCGATTTTGTCCGTGGGGTTGTGACGAGACAGCAGTGCCCAAGGCTTGTGCTTCTCCTTGGTGTCTGATAACTCTTGGTGTTTGATAACTCTAATATCATAGAGAAAACTGAAGGCTAAGATCACTTCATGACAAAATGGATTCAGGATTTGAGAAGAAAGTGGGAGATACTATAAACTGTATCATGGGACCTGCAGGCAAGCTTTTATAAAATGTTATATCGGTGTCTCACTTGGCAGAGGGACAACACAATGAGAATGAGAGTTGCAGCCTTCCCATGAGGTCAGGGGAGAGGGACAAAACTTTTTGAAAATATTCCTGATATTGAATTCACTTATTAATTGGAAATTAAATTATTTCCTTTTCATAGTTTTCAGACTAGTGTCAAATCCTAAACACATATAACTGGGGAAGAAGCATGTGTTATTTCATATATTCTGTAGTCAAGTCAAAACATTCAACATTCAACTCCAGGAGAAGGCTGTATTTGCTATTACTCACTCCTCTGACACCTCTTTTCTTTCTGCTGTCTGATTCACTTGTTTTATCGTATTTCCCCTCTTTTGCCCTCCCTCAATTATACTCACCTACTTAAAACTACTCACGTACTAAAAAGTGCATAATTAGATTTTCATTATGTTCTTTCCTGACATAATTTTTGATTATATAATTAAGGGTTCTCACTGAGCTCTTGAACTGAGAGAAGACTTTTGGTTTAATTAATCAAATGGTCCTTCTCAATTCAGGGTATTTTTAAGCAGTTTTGTTTTTAAGTCAGGTGCAGAAAGTGTTTCTATTACTCCTGACATAATGCTGTATAAGCTGATCTTTACCTCCTAAAGCCAGCAATAGAGAAGCATTGCCTTGACAGCAGGGCCAGGTATATTTATCTAAAGAAAATAAGATACATCAAGCTTCAATATGCTTGAAGTAGGACATTTTTTTTTTCTTTTGCAAATTCTTTTTTTTTCTTTTGCAAATTGGAAGTTTGTCAAATTTTGATTAAATAGTTAATTAAACTGGGGTTGTTCCAAGTGATTTTTTTCCCCATATGAGACCATTTACAAGTTTGAAACTCCTTACATTTTTTTTCTGACAAATTAACGTTCTTACAAAATTTATTCTTTTTTTGGGGAGTACTAAAAAAGGCTGCTGGAAGTTTTGCAGATTGTATGCAGGTATTTGCCCTGAGCTAACATAATCAAGCAAAGGTTCACTCTTGGTATTTTGTTCTCTGTAAGTACATGAAATAAAAATAACATGAACAATAGTGATTGGTTTTGGTTTTGTTATAAATTGCTTCTTCCTAACTGCAGTTGCATTATTTTCTCTGCCAGTACATAGAACAGGAAAAGCCACCTACCTCTGTGTCAGCACAACCAATGTTTAGAAATTGTAATGAGGAGGTGGAGGCTAGAATTATGTAGCTGTTTCAAAACTCGTGGTCTTCTCACAATTAAAGCTGGAAAGAATCTTCCATGTAGAACAGAGAGTTGAAGATCAGAGAAAAAAAAGTTTTAGGGCGCATAAATACACGTGGAATACATGGCATCCATCCACCTGCTCTTCTTTTCTCCAGTTCTATTCTCTGCTTTTCCCAAAACACCTCAGTGGTGTTGAAGATGTAGAGCATGGTTCTGGGGACAGGGACTGGCACTATCTCAGCAGTCTGTCACCTGCTGCTCTTCAGCTGCAACGTGTGCTGAAGGGATTTGGTGAATTGTTCTCAGCTTAAGTTCAGCCCGTGCCTGAGGGACTGACTGGGCTGGGGCCCACTCTGTGTGTTGCCTGAGGAAAAGAAGCAAACATCACAGCATGTGCTGCTGCATCTTTGACACTCAGTGTTCCAAATGCAGCTGTATAGAGATGTAATTTCTGGAATGTATTGTCTACACTTGCAATTTTGGTCAGATTTGTTTTTAATATTGGAGTATATGAGTAAACTAACATGTTTTTGTGAGATGATATGTGAATTCTTCTCCACTAAATATGAAGAATTATGGAGGTCTGCATTTGATAACTAAAGATCTTTGCTAAGGGTGGGCTGAGCCAGTTTGATATCACATCAGCACAAAATAGAGAGCTTGGTAATAATATATAATTTTGCCATTTATAGGCTCCCTGCGCATCTTGTATCCAGAATATAACTCTCTCCATGGTTGTTGTAGTGCACATATTTTGTTTCTATAAGGCCGAATTAATGTAACTGGGAAACATTTAGTCCTGTGTGCAGCTTGGACTGGGTTTTATTGTTGAGCCTGAGCTAACTGAAGTGTGAGCTACCCTTTTTTCCCTTTTGACATTGTGTCATGTTTTCACCACTTCCTTTGTGACACTGTGGTGAACAGGATCATGAACTGATCAGCTGATCCAGCTCAAATTAACTGGAAGGCAAACAAACAAAAGGTCCTTTTTTAGTCAGATTTTTTCCCTGACAGGCTCAGTGTGCAACCCCCAAGAGCTACTGCTGGCATGAGAGGAGGTGTTCAGTCTTGTGGTGAGGGCAGGGCTGGGAGAAGGATAGGATTGCCTCCTTTGGCTGTAAGTCACCTGCAGTTTAAAGCCATTTGTGAAACTATAGCCTTGCACAAGTGCCTGCATCAACACTGGATGCAGTCCTTGGAATTATAGCCTCTTGTATAAGGTCGGTGCATGGTATGTGACCTTGCATTGTATGCACCAGGGCAGCAAAGCACGCTTGTGTGAGTGCTCCCATGAATAGGCACACTGAAGTCACTGACAATGTCCAGTTGCTAAAGGGTTGAAGGGGGTGGGATCCTAAGACTCAGACTTACGATCAGTCTGAGTCTTCACATTTCAGTGGGATGATGATATGGAAATTACTTTTCCATTCTACTGGCTGAACAAATAACAGAACCATTTCAGTTTCAGATTGAACATGCTGCCTTAGAACATCAGACCAGGACAATCAACAGGTTCTTTCCTCTGTGTCAGTTCAATGTATTGCAACTCAGTTTTTGTACCTTTGCTTTTTGTAACTTTCCTTAAAATAGTGGCTGGGACTTAAATGATGAAGTACGAGAGACAAGGGGAACTAGAGCACTAAAATACTGGTTTTGGAAAGAATGCGGAAAGATACAATATAAGGATGACACAGAGATGTTCAATAAGATTGTGGAAAAGTTTCCATTGACAACAGCATAGAAAAATAATTTTGCACTCTATAAATTGAACTAGTCTGGAGGGAGAGAGAAAGGATATGTTCCATAGCCCAGATTTCTACACACACTCTTCAGTTTTGTCAATATATTTCTTCTGATCCAGTAACATTTAGTATTGTAAAGCAATTGGAAAATACTGCAAGGACAAAGAAAATTAAGCTTAAATAAAAGAAGAGTGACTGGATAGCTCACTGGACCTGTTGGGTTATGCATGTTAATTCTAGACCAATAGGAAGAAGATACAATAAGCAAAACCAAAACAAAGCTCCTTTTGTCTCAATGGAGATTCCTCTAAAGAATATCTAACTGCAACTCAAGAATAAATGAGTTTAGTAATGAGCAGACAGAGGAAGCCTTTCCTGCTGAGAGGAAAGGAAACAAGCATCCTTAAATCTGAATCAAGGAGCCAAGGAACTGGCTTTGTGAAACACATGACGAGTTCTGCACATACGTGAATAAGGTCCATACTGTATGGTAAAGTTAGGGACATTTCTTGATGACACTCTGAATTTCTTACAAGAAATGATGAGACATAAAGGTCAGAGAGAAGGTAATTTATCATTTTAATTCCTCACAGAGCTACTCATATTTTGTGACTGAAGTTATGCTGATAGAAACCCACTACAACTGAAAATCAGCTTAGTATTCTGTTTCCTTTGTTTTTACCAAATACAAGGTTTCTGTCAACAAAATCCGCCTAGTTATACACTTACCTTGGTGAAAAGAAGAGTGCTGTACAAAGCAGGCTGTTTTATGCACTGGTACAACGTGGAACAGCCAGTTCTGTGCCATTCAGATACACACAGCTCTAACACTTGCTTGTGCAGCATGTGAAGTCTCATTATCACCTCTCACACAGGAAATTTGGAAGTGAGTCGTTATCCAGCCCTATCTTCCACCTCTCCAGAACCTCAGGGTGTGGGAATGACTCAATTGCATTTGCATCTTTCCAAACAATTTCACTTCTTGCTCTGCAGGCAAAAACAGAAGACGGCAAAAATATTTTTCCCAACTGCTCCCTCACTGTGGCTACTATCTTTTAAAAATAAATACACTTCTGTTGTTTTCAAAACATTTTGTTTCTAATGTTTCTCTGTATTTAGATACTTGCAGTCTTTTGTGGCCTAGATATGGTTCTAAACACTGTATAAGGAATATAGTTTGAAATTTTCAAGCCTGAATATGTTAAACTCTTAAAATTACTTAGGGCTGCTGCCCATCAGAAAATGTTTAGGTCTGCTGCTCATCAGAAACACACGCTGCTGTCAGTGAGAGCAGTGGTTGTTCAGTAATATGGGCCATGAAGGCAATCATATTTGAATATGTGAACACCTTGATTTAAAGTCTAATCTTCAGATTCTGTTGCATTTCTGCTTGTCTGAATACTGTCGCATTCCTAATACATCATTTTATGGTTATGTATTATTTGTTTTCATGACAAGGAATAGAGGCTGCAGCTTAGCATCAAAGGGTCTATCTGCATCTGTCCAGCACATATGATTTATTGCAATACTTTCATGTGAGTTTGGTTCCACAGCTGATCTTAGAATTGGCTCCTTCTGCCAGGACAATTGAAAAAAAAATCTCTAACTTGGTTTTGATTGAAAGGTGGGATTTTAACAAAATTATTCTAGTACATTACTAGAGATCAGGAAAAGTGGCTGGAAGCCAGGCAGAACAAATAGAATCAGTCCTGAAGGAAATGGTTAAAAGAAGAATGGGCAGAAAAAGGAAAAAAAGTTCTATGCTAATGCTGGACTGGGAAGTAAGCTACTTTACAGACCAGTGCTGCTTTTCCAAAAAATTTCCTGTCAATTTTTAGAGTGTAGTTTCCTTCCTAAAGCAAACTATGTAGCACTATGCCAGTGGGAAAGTGCTGTGAGGTTAGTCCTGTCAGTCAGTACAGAGCACCTGGCCTCTGGGCAGAAATCCAAAGAAGCTTCATGCCAAGGAAGTAGCTTGTACAAACTGTGAACTCTGTCCACCTGTTAGGCATTGTTTGCTCATGATTTATGTCTCACACTACAGATGTACTTGCCACAACGAACTATTTACAGGAGTTTAATAGTAATTCTTGTAATTGGCATTGAATCCACTGGCAAACACGTGTGTGCAGATACATGTATTTCTTCCCCCTTGGTTTGCCTTCTTTCTCAGTGGAAAGGCTTTCTCTCTTTGTTCGCCTGCAGCCAGTGACACACATCATGCAGCTATGCTCTGCAACATGGTGCTGTGCTCAGTAGCAGCATTGGACTGGGCTATGCTGCTTTTGACTTAGTCAAATAACTCACATTCTTCCCTCAGAAATTAGCTACTGTAATATTAAAATACTTTGAGGAAAGGAATATTTGAAAATAGTTGTCAACCCCATTATTCTTTCTCTGCATTTAGTTACACAGTGATGTCAGTGTATGGAGAGAACTGCATGCCGAGCGGGCCTAATTAGACATTAGAACTGTCTGTCTCTGCTGAGCGAGATGTTATGTGGGCTGGGAGACACTGAGGCATTATGCCATGTGCAGGAAAGCCCAGGTGCATTTGGTGCTCAGGTGAAAGAAGCCCTTGGCTATAACCAAACTTCACCTAGGACAGTGTGCCATCCACCAGCTCTGTGTTCTTTATCTGCCACCAGCAATCAGAGTGGTCACTGTTACTGAGGCCTGGTACTGACTCTTGGCTCTTGAAATCCAAACCATAACCTCAGAATAGCCCTTCACCTGGGAATTCAGATACTATTCTATGATTTCAAAAACAGGGCTTTTGCCTGATAGACTTTTTTTTTTTTTAAAAATCTCTATTAAACCATCTGTTCAATCTGTTTTCTAAAAACTAGTCTGTATCCATTTGCTTCTCTCCTAAGAACTAATCCTGTCCCACAAAAAAACTCCTAAAATCAGAACTGATAATTTGGCTGACAATACATGAAGAGCTCTGCTGCTTAATTAGTTCTGCAATGCTGCTGACAGTAATTACAGCTTCCTTTTGTGTCAATAACTAAGTCAGCAACTCTCGAAAAAGATTCAGGGCCTTATTTGTCTTTTAGTTATGTCACTTCTGCATCACTGTAATTTCAATGATAACAGTAGAATTAGCCTTCATGTGCAGTAGTGTAAGTGAAAGGAGAATCATGTGTCCAGACATGTACATTGGGGGTTGGGTTTGCAGTCACATTTCTGATTGGAAGCATATTTAGAAAATATGTGTCTAAAAATACAAGCACTGATCAATTTTCCCTGGGAAATAATACTAAACTAATGCTTTGTGCAGGTGTTCGGAACCTTTGTTAGTTGTTTTGGGGACAAAAATTGCAGCTCTTGACAAATCAACACTAAAGGTTCATTAATGATGTTCTGAAGAGTTAGAGTCCTGCTGTTTAAAACAAAAGAAACAAAACTACAGTCTAGGGAATCAAATGTGCTTCTGTATTCTCCATTAGATGTAGCCATCTGAATTTGTAGGAGACCTTTGGGGAACATCATGGAAGAGACGGTTAAGAGCGAGGAGGGTGTCAATGGAATAAATATGGATTATTGCTACAGAGCACGCTGCCATTGGAACCCAGAACTGGATTTTGGCTGTGAGGTGCTTTGCCACCTAGGCAAAGGGTAAAGGGAGAAGATACAATTAAGTATAAGGTTATAAATGGAGGGTTAATTTCTGTGACTGAAAATTTAATTTTTAATGAGTCCTCTTTAATGTACGACTTTGGCTTTTTCACATGTGCTCTCTCTCCACGCCTCATTACAGGACAGTGTGAGAATTAACAGGGATAATGTGAATGGCGAGATAGGTTAGAAGCATTACAAAAACCGAGTATTTTACCATGCCGATCTCCTGAAATTGACACCTTCATTCCGAGAGGGACAGCGATCAGGCAGCCCAAACCTCAGCCTCGGCCCGCCCTCAGCCTCGGCCCGCCCTCAGCCTCGGCCCGCCCTCAGCCTCGGC